AACACCTCGGATCTATCCTGAGAATTGCCACAACAAATATTAACACCAGACATTGATGCACTTGCAAAAAAAAAAATGAGACCAACAACACTGTTCCCACTGAAGCTGAATGTTAGTTTATTACTGCGTTATTAAATTAATAAATTTGGATTTTTTTTTTTTTTTTTGCTTCCTGTTTTTACATTTTATATTAGTCCACACAAAACCACCATTCTCCTATTCTGACCCGGCCCCCCTGAAAAATTTTAGAAACCATTGTGGCCCGCGAGTCAAAAAGTTTGCCCACCCCTGGTATAGATAAATAAATAAATATTACCAGGCACTGAATCATATTTCAATTCGTGGTCACCCCTGGCTCGCTATATTTGTATTGTTTTATACTGAAAATGAAAATGAAGAGTTTGGATAATATCAGCATATTGCATATGCGGCAAAAAGTTAATATTTGACATCCCTACTCATTACTTGTTTTTTGTTTTGTTTTTTTCCGACCAGGGCAGATGACAAAATGACGTAAGAGATTTAACTAACAAGTTAGTGAGTCAAGTACAGAGAGAAATGAATGGTTTATAGGTGAGCAAACTCGCAGCTGCAGCATGGAGGGAATCATTCCTGAGGACGATACATCAGCTAGGAGGAGAAGCAAGACGTTCCTCAGTCCATGGCCTTATTTTAGAGAAATGTTCAACATGCATACAGGTGTGTTACATGGTGGTTTGTTGTTAATTGCATTGACCTATGTATAAACCATAAGCTTCCATTCAGTTCTAACTGGTGGTGGGGAGTACAGCAAATATATATACTCTGGGTGTGAAAGAACAAAGCTACTTCAGTTCCCCCCCCTGTTGGGTGGGGCCTTGGGGTCAACTGGGAAAGTGTCTGAAAGGGCTGTTGCGATCCTCATCAGGAATCGATAATTGTATAACAGCACGTCCAAATATCAATGCTTTACACTTCTATGTGCTGCTGTTCTTCTCCCTTTTAACCATGTACACTCGCTTCTGTTTCATTCTTCCTACACCAAAAAACAGAGACGGGAAAAAACAGTGGACCCCACATTGACCATGCAGAAAATTGCACAATAACTACTAGCTCTGTTATTACTTATATATTATGAATTATATATTATTTATATATCTATTCATCCCCAAAAAACCATAGTTATGTTATTGTGTCATCTACCTTGCAGAAAATTGCACAATAACTACTAGTTCTGTTATTACTTATATATTATTAATTATCCATCCATCCAACCATCCATCCATCCATCATCAACCGCTTATCCGGGGCCGGGTCGCGGGGGCAACAGTCTGAGCAGGGACACCCAGACTTCCCTCTCCCTCGACACTTCCTCCAGCTCTTCTGGGGGGACCCCAAGGCGTTCCCAGGCCAGCCGAGCGACGTAGTCGCTCCAGCGTGTCCTAGGTCTTCCCCTAGGTCTCTTCCCAGAGGGACGGCACCCGAGCACCTCCCGAGGGAGGCGTCCGGGGGGCATGCGATGTAAATGCCCAAGCCACCTCAGCTGACTCCTCTCGATG